ACCCACCGAATCATACAGGGAACCTAACCTGAATGGACACTTTCCGATTGCCAACGGTGTGCCAAGCCTGTCTGACACGATTCGGGTTCGCCATGTCGCCCAATCACCATGCAATCCGACTCCGTTGGCCGTTCAGGTAGGTGTCCCGAATCCAACTCATTGCTGACGCCGATAAAGTCGGTGGCGATCCACGCTGGGTTATGAGGTATATATATATATATATATATATATATCAGGCAGCCCGTGGCTCTGTGATGCGGAAGTGATGAAATGTCAAGAAAATCAACAGTTCATCATGAAAGGCGTGACAATCTACACCGCAGGAGCGGCCCTCCTGGCGCTCTTCATCGTCAAGGTACCCTCCCCCCTTCCCCTCCCCCTTCCCCTTCCCCCCTCCCCCACCCCTTCGACAGAAACCCAGGCTCACCCCCCCAGTACATCCTTGCCGGCCTCCTCAACCCACTCTCCCCGATCCCCGGACCGTGGTACACGCGCTTCTCGACGTTGCCGTCCAAGTGGCACCGGCTGCGCGGCACCAAGATCGTCTGGGTGGACTCGCTGCACCGGCGCTACGGGCCCATCGTGCGCGTCGACGCCGGCCAGGTGGCCATCGCGGAGCCGGCCTTCTGGGACGCCGTGGGCCGGGTCGGCGGCGGCTTCCGCAAGACGCCGTTCCACGAGCGCATCCGCATCGGGCCCGAGCACTTCCTGTTCAGCATGACCGACGCCAAGGCGCACGCGGCGCGGCGCCGGCTGTTTGCGCGCGCGCTGACGGCCGACGCACTGCGCCGCAACTGGGAGCCGCGGGTGCGCGGCCGCGTCGAGGTGGCCGTCGCGCGCATCCGCGCCGAGATGACCGCGCGCTGCCGTGGAAGTGGCTGCGCGACGTGGTCGGCGCCAACAAGGTGATTGCCGAGAAGGGCACCATCGCCGTGCGCAACCTGCGCGCGACCGGGCTCGACCGGCCCAACCTATTTAGCAACATGCTCGCCGAGGCGGAGAAGGCGCCCGATGGTGATGGTACTGGCGACGACGACGTCGACGGCGACGCCCACAGGCTGACCGACGACGCCATCCGGTCCGAGGTGGCCGGGTTCCTGCTCGCGGGATCCGACACCACGTCCATGGCGCTGACGTACACGGTCTGGGCCGTCCTGCGCCACCCGGACCTGCAGCGCCGGCTCGAGCACGAGCTGGCGGGCCTCCCCGCGGCCTTCAGCGACCGCGACCTCGAGGCCCTGCCCCTGCTCGGTAACGTGCTCGACGAGGCCCTGCGCCTGTACAGCCCAGGCTCTCCCGGCATCCTGCGCCTGCCGCCCCGCGAGGGCATGACCTGGCGCGGCTACTTCATCCCGGGCGACACCCAGGTGCTGGCCCAGCAGTGGACGCTAGTGCGCGACCACGCTCTATTCCCGGATCCCGAGCGGTACGTTTGTGTCGGTGCCGCGTGCTGTGTGCCGTGTGCCGTGTGCCGTGTGCCGCAGACCAGGACATTGCTAATTGGCGCAGCTTCGACGAGACGCGGTTCGAGCAGCCGGCCGAGGGCGCGCGGCGCATCGCCTAGCCCTGGGGCGTTGGCACCCGGAGCTGCATCGGCAGCCGCCTGGCCCTCATGGAGATGCGGCTTGCCGTCGCCCTGTTCTTCCGGGAGTGCCGGGGGGCCCGACTCGGCCGCGACGTGACCGACGACGCCATGACGCCCCTGTTTCGCTTCTTTATGTTTCCCAAGGGGCACACCTGCAGGGTGACGCTGACAGCGAGTGTAGACTGAGGCTCGGGAAGATGCCACCCCAGAACCGACGGCTTGGTACAGAACATGGACCAGGACCAGACTAGGATTGCATAGGCATGTGGGGAGACGGCCGGGGCGGGGCGCAGGAGCAGGAGCAGGAGCAGGAGCAGGAGCAGGAGCAGGAGAGGAGCAGGAGAGGAGCAGGAGAGGAGCAAAAGCAGGGGCAGGAGCAGGAGCAAAAGAGGAGCAGGATAGAAGCAGAAGCAGGAGCAGGAGCAGAGCAGGAGAGGAGCAGAATCAGGAGCAGGAGCGGGACAAGTATGTACCTCGTCCGTAGCAGCCAATGCAAAACATGCATGTCCCGGACTCTGAGCTGGCACGACTGCCTATCTTCAACCGAGTGCCTGTCGATGCCATATCCAATCCCGATCTGGCCCCCGACCAGAGCCGACGGCACCTCACACGCGCGGCATGACCTGCCTCGGTCAGCACTCAAAATGCGCCAGGGGTAGCAAGCCTTACAACCGACGACGTGGTTTGGCTCGCGAGCAACAATGTTGTGCATGGAGCTAGGGGTCGTATGACACACCCTCCGTCTGCAACATGCACTGGCTGACAGCAATTAGTCATGGGCAGCAACAGGGCAGCTGATCTTGCTCTGGCAGCGCGGGAATGGGATACCAGTGGTCTGCCAGACGCAACTCTCAGACTCTGCGGCCCGACACACTCCCGCGACAAATCGGCCGCGCCAGGGTGCCAGTTGACTTGGGCAGCGAGCTTGGGCCCCGGTCGCAGTCTTGGCATATGCGGCCAGCTGCAGCTCGAGGGTACCCAGGGCACCACTGGGAAGTGTAGTGTAGATCCTGCCATGCAGCCGAAGCGCGGCCTCCCTCGGGGAGCCAGGCGCTCGCAACTGCGCCGTCGACTACGGCAGACGGTCGGCTCGCACGCCCTCCCTGCGCGGCCACAAGTGCCGGCCCAGGTGGTGGTGCTCCGGCGATACAAGACCTCCCAGGCCTGGGCCGTGCCCGCGTGGTTGCGCTCTTTAAAGTGCCAGGGCTAAAGGGGAAAACCGGCGCGCTGCGGGCTACACGCGGGCCACACGCGGGCCACACGCGGCCCCCCACCGGTCTACGTCGATAAGCTGCACGAGCCTCACCGGTGTAAGTCGGATCGGGCGCTCGGCTCCCCTGCCCTGGCGATTAGTCTCGCTTGGGAAGTACCAGACACGATGCGGCAATAAAATCCCACCGACTACAGCACAGCATCAGTTGTCAACTCCCACTTCCCGCACACTGCACTTGCACTTGCACTTGCACATTGCACTGCCCATCATTGCACCACTGGCCATGGCCCTCACGACCGAACTCGCTGCAGACCTGTTCGCCTCGCGCCATTCTATTCCCTCTGCTTCCGCACCCAGCACCTTATCTACTGCCGATCGCACAGACAGCTCGCAACCCCTCGCGCTGCAGTTCGGCCAGACCTCCCCCCCCCCCCCCCTTCGCCCACATCGACGTAACATGTTACATGGCTCCAGCGAATTGCGACTTGCACGCCGTCGAGGCCAATGAAGGCCAATGAAGGCCAGACTCCAGCGTCTTTTGCTCCATTCACTCCCCTCCGCCGAGCTCCGCTCCTTTCCGTAGTGCGAGAAGCCTCATCGGGGCGAGACGAGTATAAGTACAGCTCCGGCCCAACACCAAGACCTCTTGACGGGATATGCCAACGAAAGCGAGCCGTCGCCACCAGACAGCACCGAACCTGATTACCCACCCCTCTGCTCCAGCCGCCACCATGCTTCCCCGGGGCCTCGCCGCCGACCTCGACCATGTCCACCTCCCCTCGGGCCGCCCGCTGCACTACCGTGACTATGACTCCGACGCGCTCTTCGTCTGGACCGACGAGGGCATCAGGACGCTGATGGTAAGTTTCCCTCCCGCCCTCCCCATCCCCCCCCCCCCTCCCCCCTCCTGCCCCACCTCTCCGCTCCGTGGCACCGGCTCACGCGCCCCAGCTCCCCGGCGTCCGCTGCCCCACCTGCGCCGCCAACGGCTCCGAGGTCTGGGTCATCCCGGGCCGGGCGTGCGGCTACTGCCGGACGCCCGCGCCGTCGGAGGGGCGGGAGCAGGCCGAGGACGCGCCGCAATGATGGGCGGCCCGGCCACCTGCGCCGGGCATGGGCCGGGCGCCGAGGGGGGTCCCGCCGCGAGCCGGCTCGGGTGGAGGATTGGTTTCTGGCGTTGGATTGAGCGACGAGACGGGGGAGGGGGGGGAGGGAGGCGGGGGCAAAAGGGCGGGCATATCACGAATCATGATGCATTGCGCGAGACGCATTTTTCGGGGCGGCCGCTTTGGGGGGATACGGTTTCTTGGTTCCACGTAGTTTTTTTTGCGCATCACATATCCCAGACAGCCGCAACGAGACGTGAAATTCAAAACCTAGCCTCGCTACTGTCGCGTGCCGACCTGCCCCCCCTGATTGCGCGGTCCTCCGCATGCAGCCCTCCCCATGCAGCCCCTGGAGGGGAGCATTTCTGGATGCGCTATTTTTTTTTTTCTTTTTTTCAAAAGTCCCCACGGGGGAGCCGTCCACCGCTGCGCTGCCCTTTCTTGCCCGCTGCGGCATTCTCTGCGCTTCCTCGCCGCGTTCGCCCGCTATTACTTCCAACCATTCGGGGGCTCGGTGAGCGTCTCTCTGCACCCCCGGTAGCCCGTGCAGAGCGTTGGGGAGGCCAAGAATCCCCGATTGGCCCGGGAACGGTCCGTCCCGCAGCTGTCGACCAGGAGAGCCACTGAGATCCAGACGGGGGCAGGCAGTGGCTGAGGCACAGCAGACGATTGAAAGGGGATAGCAGTGGGCGAGGCGGCCGCATCCCTGCACCGGACCTGGGATCCGCCCCCCTGACATCCCGCCCTGGGATCCCGCCCTGGGATCCATCATCCTGCTGCCAACGTGAAACTTTCAAAAGTGAAGCGGGGCCGAAGCCTCTTCCCACGCGCGCGGAAACGAGGCAAGGTCGACGGAACGCTCGCCCCCGGCCCGCGAAGCCAATGGGGCCCGCCGCGAGGCACGTAGCCATGCCCCTTGCAGTAGTTCTGCCCCAGCGATACAGATGTCCCGTGCATGGCAGCCGCGCTCACTAATCGATGCCATCAAGGCCCGCACAGGAGCCGCGCTGGCTCCTCGGTCCCTCGCGCCCTGCTCGTCCCAGCGCCCCTAGGCCGGTCCCGCCGCTTGTACGAGATGGACCGAGGCCCGTATCAATCGGGTATGGTGTAACGGTAACATTTCTGACTCTCAATCGAGTTGAGCACTCAGGGGCCCGGGGTTCGATTCCCCGTATCCGAGTTAATTCTTTTGTCTTTTTGTCTCTACGCATCCTGCGTCGATCCGTCTTTCCTCCTCTGCATGTTACGTAACATCCCAACGCGCCCTATCCAGCAGACAACCAGCTCCGAAGCCCACCCAGCTCCAATCCCCAAGCAGGCAACAGACAACGCGCCGCAACAATCCCCAACCCAACCCAACACCAACCGCCGCAGGCTCTCGCCCGTGGCGTGCATCCCTCTGCAGATCTGCAGCCCTGCCATTGGCCACCGGCCTCTCCATTACGCAGGAGCCTGACGTATGTTGTGTGCGCTGCACTGCGCTGCATTGCGCAGACTGCTGTGGGGGGGGGGGAGAGAGAGACCAGAATATCATGTTGCCCGGGCCTAGATGGGGCCGTCGTGCTGGGGATGCTATGGTCGGAGGCCACCCGGGAGGAACCGGGTCACGCTCCGGGCTCCCCACGGTGTCGCGGCCAATGGCATCTTCGACGTGGCGGGCTGGATCCATGCTGGTGCCGCCCCGATGTGCTTGCTCAGCGCCCCCCCCCCCCTCACCGATTGGTTCCTGCGCTTAGGCGGTGGCTGTCAGAACTTAAACTTGACGGTTGGGAGGGTTGGAAGACTTGTGCGTCGGTGGGGCGGTTGGAGTTTGGTATGAGTGGTTGGTGCTGTTTTGTTGCGTGGGCTAGGAATTGAATTCTTCCTAGCGGTCGTATATCTGTAGCATTGTGCTACACAAGTAGGAATTCGTTAGCCTCAGAGACGATGGGTGGATCTTAGCTAGTGGCATTACCTGTCTTGAGTGACCAATAAGCTTGTAATCAAGCAGACGGTGACCTCAACCGGCAACTTGTAAGGTGTTGACATACCGGATATAATATGCCATTACGACGGACTAGTTGCTACAGAAATTGCCTTTGTGCTCACTTATTCACCACGCCAAGAGTCTGTGTGGTGCCTCGTTTGTCTTATATGAGTTACTTTACATAGAACTAGCACCGTGGTTGGGACAAACTAAAGGATGAATTTAGACTCTTGGTCGATTGTCTCATTACATCGCGCTCACAGTATCTGCTCCCGTAGCACTCATGGTGACCCCGGCCGTTAGAGTCGGTTTTAAGGGGGCGCCCCAAACCCTCCAACTTCAAAGTCACTAGCAAAGCAATAGTCGCAAGGTTCAGGCTTAAATAGCATTTAAATGTTGGAGGATATTCCGGCGATGGGCCCACCCTTGCGCCAGTAGTTCCCGCCAACTCTGGAGAGGGATCTGACGGCCGCAGGCTTGGTATTTTATATTCACGGTGTCACGCGCCAACCGACTGGCAAGGGTGATATTCAAGTCTTGATTAATAGGTGGTGTGGTCCTCCTGCGTAGGAGCTTGCGTTTTTAGCCAGGATGATACGTTGATTATCGCGCAATATGATGCACAATTGCCTAGCCCTCACTGAGTATCCCTAGTTCTCAGCTCGCCTGTAAACCAACCTACTTACTGTCACGCGGCCAAAGCATGACAAAGTAATTATGCGAATATACTTGAGAACAACATTTCCATCCGATGAACTCCAGGGCGATGGAAATTGCTAGGGGCTTGTTTGTTTGTAAGACGGCGAGTAACTGGGAGCCACGGGCACAGAACCGGACAGCAGCAGGGACAACTTTCAATACCACATATCCACAGACCGATTGAGTAATGGTGAAATGTATATATATATGTATATGTATGTATATACCGTGCCGCACCTTGCCGCTCTTGCAATATCATAATCACCACTTCAAAGTCCAAAGCCTGCTCTCTAAGCCAACCACACAGTCAAAGAACCACCGCACAGCCAAAGTACTAATTCTATCAAGAACACATCGACACACTTTTTCCCCTGGCACAATGCCAGACAACGGACTTTCCCTAGAGAATCTAATGCCATACAACACGAGCGACTATTGTGTTCAACCACCTTATCGAAATGCCCTCTACAAAGCATTGATCCCCACTCCTGTTTTCAAGGTCTATTTTCCACTCGGAAACGCACCCGATGCGGCTTTCCGTTCATCCTTGTCATTCACCAAAAAATGCACAATCGTCAAGTCTGGGGGTTCTATAAGCTGGAGGGACTTTGAGCGGACCGGCGACGGCCCCCACATTTGCCCAAGAACGCCCACCACTTCAGACACCGGAGATGTCCCCCCGGCGGACCAGGCGTGGTATTTTACATTCCCGGGCATCACCTTTAGCGAAGATGGAAAGTACACGTTGAAATTCAGCGTTTTCGTTTACCCTTGGAATGATGCCGAGAACAAGGTGAAGCTCTTTGAAAAAGAGCAGAGTATAACCATTGTGGAATATGATACCGAGTTGCCTACACCAAGACTGAGTACGATGTTTCCTTTCCCCTTGTATCAAAGCCAGAATGCTGTCTGCTAGAGTGAATACTTATTTCTCTGCCTCTACCTAGCCACCACCGAGAGAACTACATTGGAGATGGTCAAGAGGCAACCGGGAGCATGGTCGATCATGATCCCACCTTCAACATAAGCCTCTCGTCGACGGATGACTGGGATTGGGGAAACGGTGACTACAAGCGTTCCTGGTGCTGAGGATGAGACGTGGTAGCCTGGGCTCGGGATATGGGAGGAGCGGCGATGCATGGTGCTTGTACTGGAGCAGTAAATGGGCCCGCACCTTGGGCCCGCACCTTGCTATCAGTTAGCTTTGATTTGGAAACGGCGATGCAGAGTATCCCAAGCTCCAATGGTGTTTAAGTGTCGCTGGGTAATTCACGTCGTACATCTGCCGCACCGCTCAGGCCCTGATTAATATCGGTGGCCGGGCGAAATTAGCCTAGAGGTGTGCAAACAACACGACGTGGTGATGATCTCGGCAGAATCCGCGTCGCGATGGCTATAACTCGCAGCCAACGCTCCACCGTAACTTGCAGATCAACACGTCTATATCCACTCACGATGCGTGTCCTTCCCACCCTTTGCCTCGCGGCGACGGCTTCCAGTTTCGCCGTGGACGACCACCCCTGGCAGGCACCATCATCCTCTGACCGTACGTGCATTCCCCGTCTATCCGGCTCTGCTAAATCGATACAGGCCGCAGCCCATGTCCGCTGCTCAACTCGCTCGCGAATCACGGGTTCCTGCCCCGGTCCGGACGCAACATCACGTCCGAGGAGCTGATCGGTGCGCTCGGCGCGTCGATAAACCTCGATCCGTCGGTGGCCGAGGGCCCCACGGCGCTCGCTCTGACGACATCCAAGACAGGCAACCCAGACACGTTCGACCTCGACAATCTGAACCAGCACGGAGGTATGACTGTCGGCGGCACTTGGTGGAAACGGCTAACGTGGAAAAGTCATTGAGCACGACGCCAGCCTCAGCCGCGCCGACGCTGTCTTTGGCGACAACAGCAGCCTGAACCTGACCATCTGGGGCGAGACAAAGTTGTATTTCGAGGGGGACACCATCTCGGTTGCCGAAGCGGCCAAGGCTCGCACCGCCCGCATCCGCTCGGCCACGGCCATCAACCCCCAGTTCAGCCTGCAGGAGGGCGACCAACAGAGCAGCCTGTTCGAGACGGCGTTCTACCTCATTGTCTTTGGCAACGGGACCGAGGCAAAGACGAGCTGGGTCAACATTCTGTTTCGTAGGCTCCTGGACTCTTACCCGTACCTGGCCTTGCTTACCCGATGCAGAGCAAGAGCGTCTTCCGTATGCCGAGGGCTACGCTCCGGCAGCCACACCAATCGTGATAGAGACGCTCCTCGATGTTGCCGGAAAGGTCGCGGCCGCGTAATGAGGGAGGTATCGGAGCAATACGTGGCGGACCCAGCTCTTGGCCCCGGCATGCTGTAATTCTAAAGTTATTCTCGCGACCTTGGAGTAAATGATGATCCCAGATTGACATTTTGAGCTGGTCGTGAGTTCGGGGCTTGTGGGCCCCAATTGTGCTAGTGGTGCAGAAATGGGTATTTGGGCGCGCACACACCGAGTGGTCCCCAAACCACCCCCGGGGGGGGGGGGGTAGGGGGGGGAACTCGTCCTCCACCGCCGCGAACCTGTACCGCCCCGCCCGTGTGCGCGCCGCCCCCACCCGGTCGCACTCCCGCTCCAACGGGATCGCCAGGCCCGGCCGCAGCCGCGTATCGACGCCCGCCCAGAAGGACCGGCCGGGGCGCGCCGTGTTGCTCCGGGTTGTCTATGGGGTCAGCATATTTAATTTTTTTTCCTTTTGTGGTTCTTGGGGGAGGGGGGGAGGGGGGGTTCTCTGTTTGGTGCAGGCGGCTGGGGCTTTAATCATGTTCTTGAGTCTCAGGCTCGGGGCTTTGTTTGGGGATGCATGGCCAGGTTCATTGTCGGGTGGATTGCGAGGGGTCAATTCAGTTCTATTGTCCGGCGGGTTGAGGAGGGGGCGTCTTGTGTGGATGCGCAACACCTCGCCCTTGGGCTCGCAGGCGGCAACGGAACTTCAGCGGGCCATGCAAGCACAGCGCGGTCTACAGGCACCGGAAATGCCTGCGCTCATTTACAAAGAAGGCGTCCGAGTCCCTGGGGGCCGATATTAGCGGCAGGTGAGACAGAGGTGGGCAATCTGGTGGGAGGGAAATGCGATATTCAGGTGTTGGACATAAGACCCGCTAGACTATGACCTACTAGTCACTCGCATCCCAATTGTCTGAGCCGTTGAACGAGCCATTGCCTGAATCGTGGTCCTCTTCCTCCTCGTCCTCTTCCTCTCGTCATCATCCGAGTCCTCGTCATCCTCGTCAGCATCCAACCATTTTCCCTACTAGTTCGCTTTCACGTTCTCGGCCAACAGGTGGTGAAAGGGCGGCATCGACGGCGGTGTCTCGTAGCCCACACCTCCGCGTCCACCATATAAGCCTCCATCCATCTCATGCTGCGCCAATGATGGGAGTCATCTGTCTCGCTGTAAGCTCGGTTCGCCTCGGCGATGGCATCTATTTGCGCGTCGTCCCAAGGGTGACCCGGGTCAAAGCCGTCACAGCGCACGCGGC